TTAAGATTCGCTATCCATCACTGCAAGACGAAGTCAAGATAGGCGACTACTACCTTCGATTGTTACTCCAGGAAGCAGATGAAACTGCTACGCCAATACACAATCCGTTAGTAAACAAAGTGTCATTTACAAAAACGTGGTGTTATTCTTTCACCTTTCCAAATTTTTCACTTATAGAACTGAATTCTTCAATAACGTCTACCATCGATTTCTTTTGTCTGCAAGATGCGAAATGCGATGTCTTTGCCTTAAAGCTATGGCTGTGACATACGGACGTCATCATATGACCATAGGACCATTTGAGGATTCTCGGCATTTTGTTAGCATGCTTGCAAAGTGTACGAATGCAGCGGAGCGAGACCACTTTGTAAGCGCATGTTGGAGACCGTTAAGCGCCGAAATTTATTGTCTCTTTGTAGATATTGCTGATATCAAAGCTAGTCTTGAACAAGGATAATGTACGGGAATTGATCAGCTCTCAATTGCTTCCAATTCTAGTCGATTTAGCGGCACTCGCTCATCTTCATGTGCAAAGAGCAAAAATTCAAAATCAGGTTTGATAGATGGGTAGAACATTTCGCCAGTGTGTTAGTAAATCTTTTCAGACAAATGTCATAGAAGCCAGCTCTGAGCAGATGAGTGAAGGCAGTTCGGCAGAATGGTATTATGCCACGAGTGATAACAATAAGGAGAGACTCGGGCCATTTTCTTTTGAAAAGGTGTGTGTGGGGACAGTGCTTTATCTTGACTGCTTGAAATAATTTGAAGGAAAATTAAACACGAAGTGGTCTGCAAATGTTGCTGATTTCATTTAGAGGGTGAAATGCAGTTGTCATATTTGAGATATGATATGAAGATTTTTACATTTCCTAATAGTTATATTCAGATGAAGACCTTTTATGCGGAGAAAACCATATTTGAGAAAACGGCCGTGTGGGCTGCAGGGCTGGAGAAATGGGAACCTCTCAGCAAAGTTCCTCAATTTCGATGGACAGTTTGCCTTGGACAGCAAGTTTGTTTGCTTAGCTACTTTAAGAAACCCCATACCGAACTCTGAAGATTTATATGGTTATCATTTTAGCAGACTGGAGTTCCGCTCTACAATTTCACGGAGCTTTGCTCGTTATGTCTTGATATAATGATACAAATGTGCGAATTCTTCCCATCAAGGTCGAACAATTCTTCCTTTTTTTCAAAGCTTCCAAATTTTCTATTTACCATGTTTTTTGTTTTGTAAAAAAGATTATCTACAATGACTATCTGGAAATCTTGCTCATTATGCTCTATTTACAGAGATGAAAACAACAGCGTCGTACGACCGATGCCTCAAGTCAAGAAGAGCCTTACGGAACCGGTGCTACTATATCAGATTGTTCAACTTCT